GCGGGAGAGGGCGCTGAGGGCGCGGTGAGCAGCTCAAGGGCATCGCACCCCGGGGCTGGGGGTTGTCGCCACGGTTTTGGGGGTGGCCGTGGGTGCCCGGCATTCCCACACAGCTCTGCTGCCAGGAGCCAGGACATGGCGAGTTCGGGCCGCCTGGCGAGCGAGCGGAAGGAAAACGTGCCCCCTCTCCTGAGGCGCTGCCCCAGAGGAGGTAAACGCGCGCCCTTTGCGGCTACGCTGGTGGGACACCGTGGGTGAACTGTCCCGACCTGCTGGGTCCCACATCGTCTGGGCTGTCTTGAAGATGCCGCTTTAATTAGCCATGGGTGAGAGCTGCTTTCCTCTGGCCATCTGCAGCCCCAGTGACAGGCGGTGTTGCTAATCATAAGGGATAAGCTGCTTACAGTGACCCAGCTGGAATGAGCTCGTTGCTGGGGTTTGGGCATTAACGGGGGACAAAGCTGCGGGTTTGCCTTGCGTTCAGAGCAGACACAAAGAGGCGTTCGTCCTGTCCCTGAGGTTTTGGCCGGGGTGAGCAGCATGTCCGGTGGTGGCTGTCGGAGTGAGTAACTGCCTACAAAGAGAGGTGCGTGAGCACCCAGGGAGAGCGTGTGGATTCTGCCTTTGCTGTGGACTGAAATGGGATGGCTGAGCTCGGGGCCCCGGGGTGTGTGCATCAGCGATGCCAGCTGTGAGCAGGCCTGAAACAGCTTCCCCCAGGCTCAGCCTGTGGGGGGATGGCCCTCTCGCTCCCTGGAGCGGCTTCCACCACTACATGCTGCGACGCTGTTTGGTTCTTGGCAGACAGCGTGTAAAGGTTGCTCCTCTGTAGCTGTTCCTCAGCCAGCTGCTGGGGCAGAAACTGCCCTCTCTGCAGTTAAGGAGAGAGGAGGACTTGTGTGTGCCTTTTGGTTTCAATAGGACGACGTGAGGCTAGAGGCCAAGCACGTAATAATAGTAATGGTTCAGTTTTTAAGACTGAGCAGTGAGCGAAAAGCACTGTTTCAGAGTAACTTGTAGTACAATCTTAGACAAATCACTGGTCCCAGCTTGAAATGAGAGGTTGATCTGTTTTTTGGTCTGTATGGATGGGAAAATCGGCATTACCTGTGTGCTGCTTACGTCTTCGTTACGTATCTGCCATTTATATAGTGCTAAAATGACATTCACTTAAAAGACTTTGCTGGTTTACTTTTCATGGACTGTGCTATTTACTTCTTTTCTCTTACAACAGAGGTACTTTGAGCAGCTTCATTTTTGTTAATTTAATTGGATTTATTTCAGGTTTTGACTGCATTAGCATTGTGCTGCAAAATGTAAATAGTAAGCATATGTAAAGAAATGTTTTTAGTTGGGAACATAAAAGATAACATAAAATCCATTGGTCATGGATTTTGCAGGTTGCAAAATGTGTAGCATGCCTTAAATATCTCTTTTGGCCTTAGAAAAAGTTTTTGAAAAGAACTTTTAAAATCCTGTTGCCTTTTGAGTAAGATGAACCACTGCTGAAAAGTGGTTACATTAAAGTTCTGAACGGCAATTTTGGAAAGGCGAACAAATTGATTTCTAAAGGACGCTGCATCTTTCTCGTCTAAATGAGACCTGAAATTAGGAATGAGTCAGGTGAACAACTCCTAAAATAATCTGGGAAGCCTGTTGAGAACCTGGTACCACTGTTAGAAAGAACTGAAATGGAGAATGAAAAAAATGCATGATTTTTATTGAGAAAATAGATTGTGTTTAGGTTCTTGGGTGTGAAAGTAGTCCAGTGGGGTCACACTTGCAGACGTTCATGGAACGAAACAGTACTGATAAGCATGATGATTTTGCGCCCTTTCGTTATATCAAAGTCCTTTATAACACTTGTTGTTTGTGACGTATTGCTAGTTGGCTGGAAATTCCTAGGATGCAAGGAGAGCTTTTATGGAACACCGATCTGCTGCATTTTGTGATTATACTTCATGTAATGATAGGTACCCTCTCAAAGAAGGCAGCAAAGCTCTGGAAAGTCTACTCACTTTTTACGTGTCAACTTCTAACTGTCTGGAAGAAATAGCACAATCTTCTATTCGTAATAACATTTGATGATGTGTGAAAGGCAGTAACAGCTGGTCCCAAGGATCGCTGCAACACCACATGACTATCTCCTGTCACCTCCATAACTGAGTCTACTCCTCGGTTTGCAGTGATTAGTGAAAGAGTTTGAATTTGAGGACAAGCAGGCCATTTGCAACCAGGGGGAACTGAGGCTAGTTCAGATGCTTTCGTAGAGGAGAGTGAAATGCACGTAGATTGGAAAGAGAATGCAATTGGAAAGAAGGCCTTTTACTATTCAAGTAGGTTTGAAAACAAGTGACGTTCATTTCATAGGCAGTGCTGGCTGTTTCTTTTCAGACTGACTAGTTTTTTGAGATGACATGGGTGTTTGTGTCTTTTTCACAACACCCTTTTCCAGGTCGAGTTTATTGCCTTCCTTTTTTAAACCAACCCAATAGTCTTAAGTGGCTCTCAGCTTCCCTTCAGTTTCCTGTCTGATGAGTACCATGTTCATGTTCCTATGTAGCAGTACATGGGCAATTTCTGATCTCCACTGATCAGTAGGTTAAGGAACAGGGGAGCAACAATGTTAAACCCTAGCAAGTATTAAAGGGAGGATAGAAAAGAAGCATAGTTGTTAGAATGATTGCCAACTTGCCTTTCAAATTTCGGGAAATAAAAGCACAGTTCCCTTAAATTGTGCTTGTCTGTTAGCAGCAACTTAAGAATCTGTATTCTGGATAGGATTTATATGTATAACCATCTGGTTTAGTGGCTAGATGGCAGATTAGGTCTCCTATCTATGATGTAATTCTTCCAAATTAGGGGACAATGTAGATCCTCTGTATTTTTAAACATGGTTTCATCCTGTAGCGCAGACAAGAGGAAACCGGCTTCTGTAACCTTGAGCCGTTGCAGGGCTGTACCAGGAGGACTGGTGCACAAATTTCTTCTTGTTAAACAGTGCCTTAAGTCCAGGCACTATGATTCCTGCCAGGCCTGGAGAAAATACAAGCGTGGAAGAGATTTGAACTTGATTTTCAATCAATGAAGAAGGGTAAGCATCGTACTCCAGTTGGAACTATGTTGCTGTGACTTCTGTAAACACAGTTCCCATTCGGCTCATTCCTATCTGATACTACGTAGATCTAGTTAGGTGTAAAGTATTCTGGAAAAGCAGCTACAGACTACTGGGTCTTGGCAGGAGGAGAACTAAGCCTGGCTAACAGGAAGCTCTTTGGGAGGCTGCAAGTGAATGCATAATGCTAGAAGTCTTTCTTTTCCAGGTTTTCTGTTGAGAATGAAGACTGTCCTCTTTGATCGTTCCTGCTCTGCCAGACATGATTGCTGAGAAGTGGGAAAAGAGTAATGTCCATAATACTTTCAGGGTTGAGGCTGATGGGTTGGAGACAAGATTTATAAGGAGAGTTCCCAAAGCCTTTGGAAAACTGTGGAAGCTGTGATGAGGAATGGGCACGCTCTGTTGTTTATATTTCTTTTTATTTTTCTTCAGAGCAAAGAAACTTTCAGAAGAATGTAAATGTTGATCTGTTTTTGGGTGCTAGAAGTCGAGTAGACGTTTCTCATCACTGGCTTGAGCCTGCTGCATTCAGTGTAACTCGCAGCCAGAGAACAGAACAAGGCTGGCTGTGTACCACGCCTCTGTCAGCTGGGAAGAGAAATCCCAGTCTGATACAGACTAATCTTTCCTGCCCTTCTCAGCCACTCCGGGACACCACCAGCCAGCTCTCCAATTCCTGCTTCCAGCAGCAGAATAATCTCTGCTCGAGGCTGCAGCAGCACAGCTTTAAGGATTTGGCTTCTAGGACTCGCCATCTTGCTTTGTCAGTGGATCTCCCTCGGAGACGCTCTTGCCTTGATGCTGATTGTTTAGAAGGAAGAGGGAATGAGAGTGTTGGCCTCCCCCAGCAATACCATCAGAAAGCAAAGGAAGGTGGTAGCTGCTCCATACGTTCTACTTGCCGTTGTGCAGAAAGAAGGAACAAGAATAGTGAGTATCCAGTGGAAAAGCAACAGCGCCGGTCTGTTGCTGCTTGTATGGCTCATGGGAACCCTTCGCTAGTCAATACGCATTTGCCATCTCATACTGTAGATCCCCTTCTTGGGAATGAATCAGCAGAGTGTCTCTCTTTAAGCAGCTCCAGTGAAAGTGTGAACTCTTGTTGTCGTGGTTCAGCCCTGACCTTGGGAGATCTCAGTCCATCTAGTCTGGTGGAGTCTTTTCATAGCTCTACCTCCCTTCGGTCTCTTTTGCAGTCCTCACAGACTTCTGCCAGCTTGCACTGTTCAATCCAGAGGCTTAAACAAGAAACTGTTTGGATGGGGATATGGGGCTCTCTCCCTCTGGAGCCCACATCTTCTCCAGTGAGTGGCAGTTTGTGCTTTGCTCCTAATGATTCAGCTCCTGGTGTCCTGAGCACAGGAGAGCAGCTAGCTGGAGTAAGTACCAGTGCAGCTCAGGCAAGATTGAAATGGGGTGTCCCGTTTGCTAAAGACTGGAGCCTCAGTGCAGTGACAAGGGACTTCTGTCATGCTGAACCTGCCTCTGTCTCTCACAGATACGGACATACCGATTCACACACATGGAGAACCAAACTTTCAGGAGACATCCAGCAAGAAACCCTCTCTGCTGCGGTGGGCTCTGGCTGGCTGGTAGATACAGAAGCAGGTTCTTCCTATAATTGCTCCCCTTATTTCAGGTATCAGTCCCAGGCAAAGCCAGCTCTGGAAACTGGAGGTCTTTATGTTCACACAAAAAGTCATTCCCCTGCAAAGGTACTTAAAGGAGAAAAGACATTTGATGGGGCACCCCCATGTGCTGCTATATCTTGGAAAAAAGACCTTCTGTCCAGCCTACATCCAGATGGTCTGCAGGTGTCACTGGAGGCGCAATATGAGGGTGCTCAGGTGAATGTTGGTGTAGCCATGTATGGGACTCCGAGGGAAGTATGCATGAGAGTCACTTCTCCTTCTGGAGATAAAGAGTTTGGGTCGATCCGGCAGCTTAGTATTAAATCCATAGAAATCAGCACCTCTGAACCTCATAGTGAGTCCAGCAAAGAGTCAGAAGAGATGCGTGACTCTAAATTGCAAAGAGCCGGAAGAAAGTCCAGCCCTTTCAGTACTCAAGTTGAAACAGGCTTTGGTGAATTTTCTGACATAGATGGTGTGAATGTGAGCGGAGGAGAGAGAAACAAACACTCCTGCCAGAACAACTGGAGGAGTTGGGAACCTGACACCAATCTGGACCAATCTGAAGAGCCTTCTGTGGAGAGGAGTGCCAACAAACCACAGCGTTGTGAAGAAAGCAGCCGCATGCAGAAAACTGTGTCTAGAGAGGTGAGGGTGTGCTCACTGCATAGCATCCCTGTACGCAGATTCTACTTGTGCTGGTATCCGTGTCTTGCTAGAGGTGCAGAGTTGAGGTACAGCAGTAATGGGGATGCTTGCCCTATAATCTTCTGTCACTGAATGGCCAGAATCATATCTCCTGTGGTCCTGCTCCATCCCAATGCATGCATCTTTCTCTCTCGCATGCTGCTTCTCAAAGACCAGCATGTTCACTAGGCATTTACATTCCCAAGATCTACATGCATAAGGGAAGCATTAAACTAATTTTAACTGTGAATAGTTGCAGGGCCATGAGATTCCAGTTTTGTGGTGCTTTTCCGTGTCTGAAGTATGTAAGACCATTCACAGAGCAAGGGGGAGCGGGGGGCAGAGTCAAAGGCACCCAACATAATATCCAACCTGAGGTGGGACTGTTTTGATCTCCAGCCAGAACGACTTGCCGTGCTGGGCACAAACAGATTCTTCGTCAGGGTAGTGTGAGTTGTCATGTGAGTTTCTATCTTCTCTTTGCAGATCTCAGAGAACAGCTTCTGGTCTTTGAAGGTGAATGAGCAAAGGTAAAAGGAATCTATGTGTTTGTGTGCGAATGTCCTGGTAGCGTCAGGGGAGAAAAAGCATTTGAAAGTGGCTAAGGAGCCAAGCTGCTGGGGACATTTAGTTCTAGGACTTAACCTATGTTATTCTGTCATATTTGGCTTATGAGCTGCATCCATTTCTTTTCAAAGGGTTGCCAAGTAGAATGGAGCATGCTCTAAGAAGTAATTTCTGTATCATTTAATTCTACCTTCTAAATTCAACCTGGATTGTTATTAGCAAGGGAAAGGCATTGGTATCATGAATGCTGCTTTTCAGTGCAGCAGTTTCCAGCCTGCTCATTGCATGATTAGTGAAGAGCAAGAACAGGGCTTATACATGAGATGGGATTCAAAATTGAGACCTGTGGAAAAGATGTGAGATTGCTATCAATTTAGCAACAGAGATGCCTTAATTGGTGTGAGGCTTATGGTCCTTCACTCTTAAGAGAGTGATTTGAAATACCTCTTTGCAGATTGATGGCTGGATTCTGGTTGCCACCTCCTGGCTGTGTTTAGCTTTACTTGTTGTTATTGGAGCTTGCTTTTTTGGGGCTTTGTTTTTTTTCCCCCCCCCCCTCTTTAAGTTTCCAGAGCCTGTGTGACAGACAAACGCTGACCAGGTGTTTCCAAGCTTGGAAGAGCCACATCCTCTGCAAAAAGGCTGCAGCCAGGCAGCTTTACAGACAGCAACTACTTCGGAAGGGCCTTGGTGCTTTGCAGTGGGCTGTGCACCTGAGGAGGATGCAGCTGGAGATAGCCCAGCGGAAACACACCTTGGCTCTACTAGCTGTCAGCTTCTGCAGGGTGAGGATGGGCTGGGGACAGTAGAAGAGAAGCCATCAGTATTCTGTTGTGCAGTCAGAAAGGCGAAGATGTTGTTTGGATAGGAAGGAGGGAGGGGTACGCTGTGTGAAATTTAGTGATGTGGACCCTGGTGCCAGTGTCCTTCGTGCAGTTTGTTCTAACTGTGTGGTCTCTCCTTCAGTGGAAGGAAGCTGTGGCAAGACAGAGCAAGAAGCAAACTCTACAACCTGAGCCGTATTCTTATGCCCAAAGTTCATCAGTGGATTTTTTTGAAGTAGGAAGATTAGCAACTGTGACAACATCAGCTAAGCACCAGCTTACAGTAGGATGCTTGAAGGAAGCTGAGCAGGCTTGTAGGTAAGCTGAGAGCATTCTCTTTTTGCTGTCTTGGGCAAACAGAGGGTTACAGAGACAGGGAGAAGATTTTCTCAGATGGTGGGAACACATGTTTCCAGTTCTGTGGATATAGTGTTACAGATAACCACTGCCAGATTTAGTAACTTGCAGCCTTTGAGAACTGAACAATCCTGTTTCAGAGCTTCTGTGCACTACTGGTTTCAGTTTGATTTGAGTGACTGACAGAAATACTCCTGTACTATTTCTTGAATTCAGCTATCGTCTGTATGTGGGAAACAAGTGTAAATGAGATTGGAAGGAGGCAGTACTACAGTCTCTAGCAGGACAGTGGGTGTGTCAAAGGAAAAGATCTTTTGGTTCTGAAGGCAGAAGAACAAGTCCAGACAAAAAGAGACAGCTAGGGAGAAGGAGGTTCTGGATTCTGTTCTGCGAGTGATCCTTGGGCAGATGGAGGTTGAAGCATGCCTGTGACTCTTTCAGGGTGCAAGGAGAACTGTGGACACAGCTACATCGCAGGCAGATGGGAGATGAGTTCTGTTGGAGAGCTCAAGCAATCAGGGATGTGAGACGGCTAGCTGGTAAGCACATGCTCCGCAAACTTGGAACAGCCTGGTGGAATCACTGTTTCACCATAATTCTTGATTAGTGTCTAGTTTTTGCTCTTTTGGAACCTGATGCTGCAAAGTGGTGGGCAGTATCTGTGATGGTGGAGAGTGGCTTACCTTCTGTGTAAGGCACTTTTTTGCCTTGCTCCTTATATGCATGCAGATGCTGTTGCTCCAGTAACATGAGCTGTCTCCCTTAAAAGCCCTTTCTCTGACATTTGGAGTTCAGTCAAGGGTGTTTGCTGTATGACACTAAGTTGTTTGAAGTTCTTCTAAGTTATTTCTCTTCCTGTCATTCTCTTCATGCCCTGCAACACAGCAGCTTTCAGATTGTGGCGCCTCCAGAAGGAGCTACTGAGCAAAGAGGAAGCCAGGTTGGAGGAAGCCCGAGCCCTGCTGAAAAAAAAGCAGCTGCGAAACACTTTCCAGGTGTGGCGTTCTCGGTGCTTGGAAATGGAACAGCTTTTAGCAGTGGCAACTCGGATCCAAAGAAACTTGGTTTCTCGGTAGGTTGGTAAGGTGTATTTTTCATGTGAAGAGTCTGTTTGCTATGAGTCCTAGGAGTGATAGAGTCAACTCGGACACTCTTAAAATCATCCTTTTCTTTTGTTTTAGGGGTTAATAAAGATGAAAGTAGGGATAGAACTATGATAAAGAACTGCTGTGGCCAGAGACATTGCAACTTGCCTCCGGTGCATGGCTGACGCATTTTGGTCTTGACCGTTGTTGTCCTTAAAGACCATATCTGAGAGCACCCACCATGTTAGGGTACTCTAAACAGCACAGTGGCCTTTTAATGAAATAAATAGGAGCTCAGCAGAAGACAGCTTCTCTGTCTGCCTTTCCTGAAGTAAACCTAGTTTCAGGAGGAGAAGAGACTTGTGCACTCCTCACACGGTTTTCCTCTGTCTTTCATTCCTCTTTGATCTGGTTCCTCAGCCTCTGTTAGACTTGTCATATTCCACGAGTTGGAATTTAAAATTGCCAGCTGAAGTCCTTCCCCTGAGTAGAGAGAGGTTCAACAGAGGCAATATTTTTTCTTTTCGTTTTCCCATTTCCTTTGTTTTCCGGTTTCCTTTTTCTTTTCTTCTTCTGCAGTACTCTGGCAATGACTCAACTGTGACCCAAGCAGAGAATGTCTGGGACCGTGAGGCTAATTCAAACTCCTCTTTCTGCAGAGTTGCTAACTTTGCTCTCGAGTGCCAGGTGTTACCTGGATTTTTGGAAATACGAGTTTCCTTTGACTACAAACTGGACTGGAACCCCCCCACCTGATTTTGTAAAAGATGATCATATTGCTGTTAGAAAGATCTCTTAGTCTAAGTGTTTCAATTTAGTGGCAGTACAAATTTGATTTAAGGAATTCAAAAGCCAAAGCCCTGAAGAAAATTAGTGATTTAGCATTTTGTTTTCCTTTGGGTTTCCCAGGTGCTTTAATGCATGGAAGGAGACTGTTGAGCAGAAGGCACTTCACAGGTGTAACGTGGCCCACCTCAGAGCAGGCTTGCTGAGGAAATACTTTCAGCAGTGGATTTGGATGCTGCGGGTCAGGGAGGACGATAAGCAGAAGATAGTGAACCTCTTCATCCTGAGGTGGAGGCAGTATTATGGTGAGCAGCTCAGGGTCTGAGCAGAACATAAGATTTGGGTTTGCTTAGGCTTCTTGCCTCTTTCGCCTCTTGTATGATGAATTGAAAAACGGCTGAACAGAGAGGTTCAGATGATACATGGTACTAACCAACCAGAGGGGGCAGAAGGCCAAGCGTTCTGGATGTATCAGTGAAGCTACAGGCAGGTTTGTCGCTCTGTTTCATAAACCTAGCAGAAAGCCTTTAAAACCTTGAAAGGAAGCTGTTCTGGGGCTGGGCTGGGTGGAGTTTCTGAGGAATTCCTCTTGACAAATGTTGTTTCTTGTCACTCCCTGTGACTGGTTAAGGGCCAACGATAAGCTCAGTAGCTGACCAGGCTGAGACAAAGAGACATGAAGCTCAGTCATGGTGGACTGTAATGAGACGGTTTCCTGAGAAAGCATGCTACTCTTTTGATGACCTCTGCCAAAAAGTGACACTCCAGAGGGTATTTCTGCTGTGGAAAGCGAGGTTCTGCGAGCACCAGAGAGCTGAGTGAGTGAAGAAGAGCCAATTCCTGGAGCCCTGCCCTCCTTAGTAGTGTTCACTTGGCTTCCTGGTCCTTCGGGAAGAATCCCTTTTACCTCTCCATCGTGTCTGTGCTAGCATCCCTCTGTGGTATTCCTCTTCAGCCACTTTGCCATCTCAGTCTCTTCTCCTGTCTCAGTTCTTTCTCTCAGGCTTTGGAGCAGCGCCGGCTGAGAGAAGCTCTGCGATTGTGGCACCAAATGTTTCTCACGCTGAAGACTGTTAAACGAAGTCCTAAGCACTCTCACAAGGTTGTCCATAAAGATCCCCTCGCCTTGCTAGTTTCTGAGGACCTCTCAACGTCTTCTGGCTTCCACAGCAATGCTCCAGCTACTCTTGCCTCTCAAAGCTCATTGGAAAAGGTAAGGAGGTATTGATGCAGATCCTCTCTGCCCCATACGTACAGACTGCTCTGAGATATTAAGTTAGGATTTTTCAGGAAAAAATTTCTACTTCAACGTCATATTGCCATTAATAAAGTGTGCTTAGTATTTAGGCCTGAAGAGCTTGAGCCTATGGCGTCCAAGAATTAAAATGTCATCAGAAACATTTGATAAAATCACTTCTATCTGTGCCCTTCCAAGCTCATCATTTCGTGAGGAGGCATATGGGGAACTGCCAAGCTAGTGAGGTTTCTTTTGTGCGCTTGCTCCTGTATGTGGCTGCAAAGTGAAAGGGATGAAGTACAAAGAGCTCCATCATTGAGAAGAGGGGGATACATGGGCACGTGCACTACCTCTGATAGTTTGCTCTGTCTGATTACTGGCTGTGTTGGCGTTAACTATTCCCAGAGCAGCACAGAAGTGATTTTCCCCATCAAATCTGTGTTTGTACTCTACCCTGTGTTTGTAAGCTACCCTTGCCAGCGTGCAGTTCCTTTGGATGCACCATGGATTTCCCTGAATCGTGCTGAAAAGGGGAGTAACAGACGCGGTCAGAGCTGTTACCTGAATGATTCCATTGCAAGGACGCTAAAGTCACTGTGTGGTTTTTTTTGTTTGTTTTTTTTTTCCCCTCCATGGATGCAGGAATACAGTCTTAGCAGCAGTCAGCAGAGCTTTTCTTCCATTCTGACTGCTGAGGATGTCACACAAATGCCCTATTACAGTTCTTTGCTGCAACTACACCAACGCACAGAGCTGCCAGCTGAGCTGGGTGGGGAGCTCTACTTGCAAGCCTCCCTTCCTCCACAGAGTCCTGGATCGGGGTGAGTTGGTTCCTTGGGACACCGCTAAAGGTGACTCCTTGTTTGGACTGGTTGAATTCCTTTCTGGCTAGTCCCCTCATGTTATCTCTCAGCATCCTTCTGGATGCTTTCTCCTCTGCTTTCTCTCCCTTCTCTGCCTGATGCTTGAGCAGCCTGATACTTTTGTCTTGCAGAGAAAATTGGTTTGTGGGAGGTCAGTTCCAGTCTTTGGCACTGCATACTCCAGGCAGTAATGTCCGGCCTCTTGCCAGTTACTCTGCATGGGAAGAGGTGAGGCTGATAAGTGGTGGTGTGCATGTAGATGTACAAATGTTTTCCGCATAGTACAATTTAGCAAAGAGCCTTTGGGTTCCAGTGAGGCAGTATTATCGTACCTCTCACTGTATTTTCTGTGGGTTCAGAGAGAAGGTTTGGGAGATTGAGGCAGTTATCAAGGCAACTCCTTCCTACCACTTGCCAACTGAATGGGAATTTGACCATGTGCCAAGGATTTAAAAGAGATGTGTTAGACCCTCATGTCTGGATGTACGTGTGTTGCATGTGGGTTAGCAACAGGGAGTTAGGTATCGGCAGCTACAAAAGTCACAGGGGCAAGGAGAAAGGGCTGAGCTGTGTGGAGTGACTGTGTCCAAGCAGCTATTCAAGGCCATTTCTGCTTTGCTGGATTACAGGACTGCAGTTCTGACAAGGAGGTGAAGCGTTGCTGGCACCAAGCGGAGAAATGCTGCCTGCAGAGGTTCTTCTTCGTCTGGTCAGCTCGAACTCAGCAGCTTGTGAAGGCCCAGCAGTACTGCAGGCTCATTCAGCTCTCTCGGTAGGTACTGTGCTTTCCAGAGATTTCCTAAAGCTATCTATTTTGGGACCTCTATGCTTGCTTTCCACAAACTCTTCCTGTCTACAAACTCTAGCTGTCTTTTTCCGTCTTCACAGAATCACAGAATCGTTTAGGTTGGAAGGGACCTCTGGAGATCATCTAGTTCACCTGGGAGTTTTGCAGCCCATTGCGTTGGTTGTCGGTTCCTCAAAATTACTATATATGAACACAATCCTACCTGGTTTGTTGGGATGTCTCACAAACTAGGGCAAGCCCAGGGATGCTGATACAAGCCCTGGTAATTCTCTACCAACTGAAATGGCCTTGCTCCCTATGTATTCAGAAGGTGAGGAGAGCAGTAGACTTGGGAGTAAACCGTTCTGTCGTGGCTGTGCCAACTTGCTCTGTCCTTAGTGTTGCCTGACTCTTCCTAGGGAGAAGTGTTAACAGATCAGAGGTGTTTCACAAAGTCTCCTGTGCGTATGCTTATTGTTAAGGCTTCAATTACAAGGGTGTGAATCTGTGTGAGTTGTTCCTACAGTCACTGCAATGACCCTTGTCCTCAGACCCTTTCTCAGCTGGCACCACTGGGTTGTGGAGAATAAGAACCGAAAAGCAGCAGCATCCCTAAAGCATCACATTCGCTGCTGCCAGATGGCTTTCCAGCTGTGGAAGAAGAGGCTGTCGCAGAAAGTGGAAGCTGACCGGAGATTCAAGTGTCACGTCCACCAGACAGCTGCTGACACTTTGTCGCGCTGGCATTTCTGCTGGCAAAGTGAGTTGCCCTATTCCATAGCAGCGCTTCAGTCTGTAGGAGAGGGATGTTATAATAATGGTTGGAGAGGAGAAAGTCCTGCTTGTGGTAACAGCTCTGTGCACTGCTCATCTGCAGGAGCATATGTTAGTCAAGGGGACAATGGGTGTCTGTGCCTCTGCACCCTTGCAGTCACAAACAGGACACACACCCTGCTTTTTTCTAGGGCTCACTGCTAGGGAAGATGCTCCTTTGGCAGCTGAACTGGAAGAGAGTGGATCTTGCTTTACCGGCACTGCCAAAGTAGTGCTGAAGTGATGCATCGTAGCAGCTAGAGAGTAACTGCAATTCAGATGCAGCACTGGGGGCTTGAAAATGTTTCCTGGGATGTGACAGTCGGGGTTTGACTGCAGTGGGAGCAGGTTATATCTCTTGGGGCTGCTTAACAGTCTTGATCCTACCCCTCAAGGGCTTTCAAGTACTTTAAATACTAAATAGTTGCACAGTGCCAGAGAGGGAGAACTCCCAATTTTTGAGGGGAAACTGCCTTGCAGATGGGAGTGGAGGTGTTCTGTGATACCTTGCTTGGGGGCAGGCAAGAAAAATGGAGGAGGTCTGACTGCTGAAGAGAGGATGGGAAATCTTGGGAAGTCTGGTCCTGTTTGGTGTTTACGGCAGAGATGTATTCTCTGTTCATGCCTGGCCTCTGATGGAGGTGAACGCTGGGCTCAGCTCAGCCAGATCCTGTGTTCTCTCACAGGGAATCATGCCATGAGAGAGCTGCAGCAGCAATGGGCTCAGCACAGCTGCCAGGAGAAGAAGAGGTTGGTCATGCGGACATGGTCTTGCCAAACAAGGAAGCAGAGAAAAGCTGCTTTATTCTGGGAACGTCTTCTACGGCACAGGTTTGTTTCCTGCTTTCAAGCCATTTCCAAAGGAAGCTTTGAGTGAAGAGTAATTTACATAGCGGTGGATCCGGTGTATTTAGACCAGAGCTGGGTTTGAACGTACAGCTAACTTGTGCATGAATTAAGTTTCTGTGGGAGTGCTTTCCCTAGAAAACTCATATTTTAAGAGGTCTGTGACCCATAGCCTCAAGACCCTCTGTCTTGTTCTTCTCAGAAAGCAGGACAATATGTCTGGCTGGATGAGGCAGGTTGTAAAAAGTGACTCAATTCTGAGTGAGAGGGTCTGAAACGTTGCCCTCTTCTTAATCCTTGGAGCACTGTGTCTCAGATGGCATAAAAGAGGAGAATTAGGTTACCTTAGCAAGAGAATCTCTGGGTTTCTGGCAAGCTAAGTCTCTCCCATAGGGACCACTGTGGTTCTCCTTCTCTGATTAGTGCTCTAGGCTCTGTTGCATCTTGCAGAGCAGCGCTCATGCCTGGGAGGAAGTAGACCCTGTGTGCCTGGAGGGTTTTAGCAGTGGAAAACTCACTGCTTCCTCCTTGTCACTATGCTCTTGTATACCCTGCTATTAGGAAACTCCATGGTCTACAGAAATTCTCAGCTTCAAACTACTAGCCTTTGCTAATAAACTGTGCCTGTGGCCATCATCTATTCAAAAACTTCTTTTCCTTCCTGCTCAGTGTTAGATGTGCAGCATGGATTTTGCGGACTAAGCAAGGCAGATGCAAATTAATGTGTGTAATTTAAAAAAGCAAAACTCCTGTTTCCACTGGAAGTGTATAGTACCTGCCAAATGGAATACTTTTTGAGGGGCAGAGGTCTTAACAGAGATCTGATTGCTACAATCCTGAATCTTTTAGATTCTGGACACAGTGTGTTGGTTTTCATTTAAGGTAGTGTGAAAAATTGAGTTCAATATACTTCAGGAGAAAAGCAATATTCAGTAAAGCCTATGAAAGGTGAGCCATGATGTTCAATTTCCCACAGTGTTATTTATGATACAGGCAAAGCAGTAGTATGTTCTGGGGTCTC